TATACGCCTAGGTGTTTTCACCCACTCTCAACCGCTGCTGCCTCCATTATCCCAAGTTTGAATTGGCAGTGAGCAGATCATTATTCACACATTTACAAAAGATTCAGAAAATAATGAACCATTATACCTTAAAAACATATTTTATAAAAATAATTCTATTGGTTATATTTCAAATTTAAAAGTTACTTCCAGGTCTTTCATTGATATGAACAGTTTCTGAACAGCTTTGGAGAGTATTTTATTTAACTAAAGGCTAGGAACCTTTAGGGATGGGCCATAGGAAAAAGCAAGATAAATGCGCTGATCTTCTTTTAGAGACTGTGCCCATGATTTGTGTACAAGTGTGTGTGTGTGTGTGTGTGTGTGTGTGTGTGTAATATAATGATCTAGTAAAAATGTCCTGGAATTTATAGAAAAGATGGCTGGCCAGTTCAGCAAATATATAATAATGCTAAAATAAGTTCCAAGAATAAAATGCAGCCACTGAGAGGTTAATGAAACAAAAAGAAAGTTTTAGACATCTTGGAAGGCATACCCTAAAATCGAAAAAAGGAGCATGTATAAACATATAAAAAAGTGGGAAAATATTTGAGAACTCTTAAGAGTACATCAATATTTGCTAGATGAGGGAAGCCAGTTGATTAGAAATACAAAATTCACGAGGCAAGGTTTCTCTCAAATTATCAACCAGATGTACCTGTACATTTATCCAAAACCTCACCTATTTTTGATTCATTTCCTCCATCCTCAGCATATATGAGGAGATTACATATATATATATCCTCATGTTCAAGATAAATCTTCCTTACAAGTGTCCTAAACCCTGAGCACTTCCTCTAGTGTTTAATTCAGCTTTGTAATGTTCCCTACTTAATAGTTTATTCCAACCAGCTGAGGCAATAGGTGTGGTCCCTTCACAACTTGCATTCCTCAAGGCATTTCCATGTACATTTATTCCTCAAGCCATTACGTCTGAATTTTACCCAGGCAACCATAATGACACTGTTCACCCTCATGTGTCTTGTAACCTCATCACTGCCCCATTCAGCAGGTGTGTTTTGGTTCGCACCTGAAGGGTCACTTCTGCCGGCACTCATGGCCCTGGGAGCCTAGGAGCCACACGAGAGGTCTCCCAGTTACCCTTGACTGCTCTGCCTCCGGACACACAGGCGCCACAGGCTTTGCTCCAGGCAGTCTGACCACACCGTAGTTCTTCCTTTCTTGTCTGGTGGCACAGGCCTCCGTCTTCTCTACTTGAGCTCACTCATCCCTGCTCCACCCTCCTCAAGCCCTTGCCCTCTAGCTCCCTGCTCTTCAGTACCCATTCATCTCTATCTCCTGGAAGAGAGTCCATGTTCCTCCAGGACCTGGCCCTGCCTGCTTTCCAGCTGTGTCTCCACCAAATTTCTAAGCCAACTCACTATCCACAGGCACTGAGAGATATAATAAAGTCATAGAGGGTATTTAAAAGACAACATCGTTTAGTATTGTTGGTACTTCAGAAGAACCTTCCAAGGATAACTTGCAACTAATCGCTGAAACAAATGGAGTAACACTAGAAGAAAGAAAATGTGAGGGAAAACTTTGCAAGGAGCAAACAATGGAAGAAAGAGCACAGCTTCTTCCAGAGCCTGGATCTGGCAAGGAGGCAGTAAAGCTGAAGAAACAGTGACCTGGAGCAGTTGGTCGGGACTTCAGTACACTTGAGAAAGAAGGGGGGGGACCAGAAAGGCCCACGGGTAATCCAAATCACATAGGGGAAAAACCAGTTGCAAGTCTAGTCACTCAATTTTTTACTGTTTTATTTTTTAATTATTATTTCTAATTAAATGTATTGGGTTGACATTGGTTAATACAGTAACGCAGGTTTCAGTGTACAAGTCTATGATACATCCGCATATTGCATTATGTGCCCACTACCCAAAGTTGAATCTTCTGTTACAAAATGAGGGCTCAGTGATATCAGCAACTATTATTAGTTAAACAGGCAATATATGTACTCTCTAAACCTAAATAAAACTTTGTTTTCAATTATAACAATTATGTCCAATTAGATCCATCATGAAATCCATCGTACTGTTGTTGATATTGTGAATCCTGAGAAAATTTTTCCCTTTGAACATGTAATATAAAATAATATTGTCCCATTTTTAGCCAAAAAAAAAAAAAAAAATCCAAGTAAGTAAGAGAGAGGGTTTGCAAGGCAAGTTGAGAATGAGTCAAACTGTGTAATGAGAAAAACAAGATAATATGGATAAAGGTACTGCTTTTGTAATAGCACTACTTTGCAGCCTAAACCTTTTCATCGAAACATCTTCAAGAGGTTTTATAAGAGAGAAATAATACAGAGATCCTATTAAAGAGAGCTCAGGATTTAAAAGGAGCCAGTTAGCAGGATGAGAGTCAATAAAACTGGAGCAGAATAATTTTCTGCTGAAGTAAAGGCAGTGTGCGAGGGAAAGCACAGATGTGTGGGGACATCAGTCGATGCAGTCCCTTGGCAGGGTCTGACTGCTTCATCCCGAAGGGAAATAAATCGATGGTTGATTTTGTTAACACTGTTATTTTGAAGAAAAGAGGTTCCGAGCATTCTAAGGCACGAGAGCTTGTGATTACAAAGGAAAAATGTGACTAATTAGAACTGGAGATAAAGCAACATTCAAGCAAAGGGGGTCAGATGAGGTTCTCTAGTCGATTCTGTTAGAGGAAAGTGGGACGCTCAAGGAGGGGGTTTTGCTTTGGGGAGGGCCGGGGTGTGGGAGACAGAAAGGACATAACCTGCGTGTTTGATCTGAGTGACTCTAAAGGACACAGTCAGTGTCTATCTCCTGTGAACCCTGAAATAATAAAAATAAACCTATTGAACTAAATAACTCCAGTTTGAATGGAGACCATGAAAGGCTTGACGGTTCGAAATTTGTTCACTGAATGCGCTCACACCTGACTAACCCTTCCTTCAAAATAAATGTAATCGTTAATACACAGACACCCGTAACCTAGTATGGAAACAGATTAGAACATGTTATAAATGTATTAGGCTGGAAATTATAATAGCAAAATGGATATGTGTTTAACATGCTATGTCTGCCAAATGGTATTGCCTTCTTAATATCAGACTCACGTTAATGTTTTAGTGTAAAAAAGATGTTCATCATTTTATATTTACATACATGTATAACATTAATGATGAATATTTATGTACCTTAAACTTAGTACTTTTTAAAGAATTTTACATATATTAACAAATAGTATAATTGCCACTTTTATAAGAGAATATTAAGCATTAATATTTAAAGCTTTGCCCATAACAAAATACACTTTTACGTGCCACCTTAAATTCTTTTGAAAACAATGCACAGTAGACAATAATTAATAATTAACCACAATAACTAAGGCAATAATAAACAAAAACTAGATACTGTAACTTAGCTGTGTTTATTATAAATAACAAAAAAGAGAGATTAGAGAAACTTACAGATATAGATACAGAGACACAACTCCATATTTAAACCCATCCTTCACGCACTGAAGTCTTCCTGTTATATTGAAGGTCAAAACCATTACAGGCTCTGGTACTCTTAATAAACAGAGTCTTGCCAGACGGCACACCTAAAAACGGCCCTAGAAGCTAGATGTCTTCTGAAGGCCTGGCCCTTTGCTTCCCCACATAAGCATGTGCAGTTTCTACCAGCGGCCTAGATGCTATATCCAGTACTACATGGACTACCCCATTATAGTATTCACAAATCCCCTTCAATTAGAGAGAAGGGGAAATAAAATAGCAGATATTTAATATCTTCTTTCTCTTTAAAAGGACAGACCAGGTAACTCTTTTAGATCTGTAGGATATTCCCAGTGTTCTCAGGCTCTTCAAGAAACTGGAGAGATCACTCGTGGGGGAAGAGGGAGAGATATGGAAGGAGACACATTTATTTTCAGTCTCTCCCTAACCCACAGGAGTAGCTAACTCATGTTTTGTCTATTCTAAAAAGAACAAATTATATTATGCTGATAGAATCCTGTGATTACAGTTATTGCTCACTTGGTATTTTAAAACAGAAGAAAAACATAGAAGTGCATTTTTGTAGTGTTACTACTACGATTGCCATGTGGCCGAAGCATAGATTGCTCGTGGCTCAACGGTCAGGGAGAAGAGACTGGACCTTAAAAATCTTCCTATGCCAAGAAAAGTGGTTTTGATTTTGTCTTGAAGATAACAGGAAACACTGAAAATTTTAAGAGTTGAAAGGTGTGATGGAGAAGAACTTGGAATTGTGAGACTGAGAGCAGAGACGAAGATTTGTATTAATTCAAAGGAAAAGATAAACCAATTGGAAACAATGCCTGCTATGGAAGGCAGGACAGAGTCAAGAGTATATCTGAGATGTGAAAGAAATACAACGGCCATGTCTTGATAAGAGATTAGATTACCAAAATGGAGACAAGTAGATAACATTAATACATATACTGGTCTCAGAGAATGCCACATTAACGCAGGCAGGGAATATAATAGGAGAAACCAATTTCGGATGAAGGGGATGCCATCATGCTGCTAGAAACTTAGATTTTAATGTCCATTAATACTCTGAAGGATAACCTTGTAGATTCACTTATTAAATTTGAGAAAACCTGCAAATACTGTCAAATAGATTAGTTTAAGCAGCAGCAGCAGCATTTCACATAATATCAAAGTAAAATAAATAATAATACTTTAGGGTGATTCATTTGGAATTCTTTCAACAACTCCAAAGTCAGCAAAGCAACTATTCCCTCAGAGACCCTTTGAGAAAGGGGTGATGATGTTAGATAAGGCATGGATCCTGCCCTTGAGGCTATAATACAATGTACCAGATGCTATCACAGAGGCAGGGAGATTTCCTCCAGGCACAAAAGAAGTTTTTTTAGAGATTTCTTGAGTGCTAAGTTTACACGGCAGCCTTTTTAATAAACATATTGCTCAAATGAAGCCATAAAATATGTACAATTTATTCTCGGCTTACCATTAACAATGACAATGATATCACGAAAGTCAATTTCGCCCCTGGCCTCCACTCTTCCTTCACATCTGTATATTCCTTCATCACTTTTATTGATGTTGAGAATCTGCAGATTATTGTTGGCTAACATAGCAAACCGATCTGGAAAGGGAGCAAAGGGGAGGAAATTATATCAGTAATTGAAGGCAGAGTCCAGTGTGCTCCAAATTGCTAAGAGTTAAAAAATATGGCACTTGTCTGACACTATCGAACATTTCATCAACAAACAAATTCGAATTTGAAAGTAAAATGTAATTTTGTGACTACAATTTTTCCACTCCACACTGCCTTGTTACACCTTTTCTCTAAAACACATTCAAGATTTTATTTCCACATAAAATGGTTAGGCTCTTATTTTCCCCTTGGTACTTTGAATGCAGAAATGATACACAAAAGAACAATGCAGGGAGATTAGATATTGCAAACATGAAAATGTTTTGACTGCAAATACTGTATGTAGCAACTTGGGTATGGAAAATGGTTAGAAAATTGATTGAAAATCCTTCCTCACACAATAATTAAAGGAATAATTTTGCATACCCTGAGGAGGCAGCTAAATGACATAAATGATATTCAAGTCACATAGAGGACATGTAAAATGGTTGTATCTCGAATTTACTTGAAGGAATTTTTTTTTCTAAATGCAAGATAATTCATTTCAGGAATGACTAGATTAGACTTCATTAATATCATTTCAAGGTTCCATTATATGTGTATGTGTGTGCACATGCATTCATATAAGAATGAGCTGTTATAGAGCCTGGGTTACTGATTGCTTAAAATAATCTGGCTCTCCTAAGCGGCATCTCAGCCTGACAGTATTTTCCATAATATCTGGCTTCAGTTTTTAACCATCACAATTCTGTTGCAGTGTTATCAATCTAGTTTTATTTTGAAACATGTAAAAGCAATAACCTAAATTTCATTAGTTAATGCATCCACAGATACCATCAGCATCACCCATTTGCTGGTACTATATTTGAGATACCTCGGTGCATCAGAGAGAGACGTCCCAACATCATGGGGCCTTTCGGTAAAGTAGAAATGCTATTATTTTAAGGTACTCACCTATGGGATATTTCCTATTATAGTGTTAAAAATTACTTTTTTGGACTTGTTCCAATGGTGACCGCTTTCCCCTACCTGATGGCTTGATAAAGAAATTGGGGCAAACATGGAAGCCACATGAGAAAAGGGTCGAGTGTCCCTCAGCCCTGGGTTGCTGAATGGCAGCATTGCTGAAGGTACCCTGCTGCGGCTTGGACTTTGCATGAGTGAGCAATCAACAACTACAGTATCAGGCAACTTAGGATTCCGTTCAGATTTGGGGTTCATTTGCCACAGCAGATCCTTAGTGCAAGGGGAGAAGTTTGGGATAGAATTACAAATAGGGCAGTGATTAGACTATAGAAGGTCACTGAAACAGGCAATCAAGAGATAATTATAATAGAAAATGGAAAAGTGTAGATTCAGAGGCTCCCTCAGAGAAAAAAAAGAATATTGACTATAAAGCTACAGACACAAGATTTTTAGGCCAGGAGGTTTAAAGTTAACCGTAATGTTTATTTCTTCTTTAGGTTGACCCTAAGAAGAGAGAAAAAAGGGTTTATGTGGATGCTTTCCCTGTTGAATTTTCTCCCCAAAAGAAACACTGGTGAGAAAGAAAGGAAGTCTGAAAGAAATTTTAAAATATAACACAGTAAGTCCTGGAGTAACTCAGAACTCCTAATAATTAGTAATGTTTCAAAGTCAGTGAAAAGATCCTTGATTCCAGCATGTGGCTGGATATTAAAATGAGAGGCAATTATAAGTAAAAAAGTGCAAATTTAGAGAGAGATGCACTAATCATAGCTAGATCGTTGTATATTTTGTATTCTCACTTATTAAAATATGCACTGTCCTTTAAGTATAAGAATCTTTAATTCCTACAGTTTATTTAATTAGGAAAAATAGTGCCTGGCCGGGTGTGGCTCAGCGGTTGAGCATCGACCTAGGATCCAGGAGATTGGGGTTCGATTCCCGGTCAGGGCACATGCCCGGATTGCGGGCACCATCCCCAGTCGGGGGCGTGCAGGAGGCAGCTGATCAATGACTCTCTCATCATTGATGTTTCTCTCTCTCTCTCTCCCCTCTCCTTTCCTCTCTCTGAAATCAGTAAAGATATTTTTTTTTTAAAAAAAAAGAAAAACAGTAAGGGGAAGCATTATTTTAATGAGAAAAGCAATGCTTGATATAAACGGAGAAAGAAAAAAAATTAGAATCTACATAATACATATTTTGATGGAAATAAATCAGTGTTTTTTCCATCTGCAAAATTCTGTTTCAAATGGCCTTTAAAACATCATTTATATTGTCTGAGACAAAACTTAGAACATTAGGAAACTAGTAATTACCTTCTAAACCTGAATAAATACCATATGTTTGATCACATATAATCTTTCCATACAGAAAACAAACGTGAACACTGGATGTCAAATTGTAACTATGTGTGCAAAGTCCATGCAGTGATGTTACCAAACTGTCAAACCAAAGTAGAATATTAGTATGGGTTTGGAGAAACATTTGAAGAAAGCATTGTTTCAATTGATCACGCATTATCTATGGAGAGTAGAGGCATTTAACTGTTAGAAACTGCCTGTTTTTCTCAATTATACAGAAACCCAAATTTCCATTATTGCTGTAAGAAAAATAAATGAAATAACGCCCAATACAGTGTCTGCTTTACGCTTCGTTGAGCAGACCCTTTACCAAATCCTCTTGTCTTTTCAGTCCACAGCCACTGAGGACTTGTCTCATCTACTCATATGACCTCAAGCACCATCTATATTTTGAGACTCAATTTTTCTTCAGACCAGACATTATGTGAATTTCAGAACTGTTTAACATTCTATGAGATGTACCTGCTGCGTAGGGTTGTAAGTACTTCAAACTCACCATTTTTTAAAATTTAACTTTATTGCCACCTGAAATTGCTCACATGGTACTCCTCAGCTCTGTCTTCAAATGTCCTTACAGTGAACTAACTGCCCCAGGTAAATATTACAAGCCATGGAACTATCTGCCCAAGTGAAATTCTTAAGTCCACCTTGACTTCTCCAGCTGCCTCAGTCTGCGTATCAATCGATCCCATGTCCTACCAATTGATCCCATGGTCTCCCTTTATCATTACTTAGTCTAAATCTCCTCTCCCTCACCAGTTATTTCCGTTAGGGCTGGAATTATTCTCAGCACCTGTAGTTTTTCCTTGACTCCCATCCAATTCATTTTCCCCATGGAGGCACTAATAATCTTCTCAAATATATGTGAGGCCATGTCACTGCCTTGATTAAAATCCTTCAGTGATGTCCCCTTGGATAAATTCCAAATTTCTTTGCTGATATGCCAAGCCTGTGCTAACCTGGCACAACCTTTCTGCCCCACTTCCTTTCTTATCAGTCCTTCATTAACAAATAGCACCTTAGCTTTATTAGTACAGGCATTCCAGTTGTACTTATTCATAAATTCTAGCTATAATGAACTCACCTGGTTTCTGAAAGTGCCATTCATGCTGTCTTTCCCCTCTGGACCACCGTGTAAGGCGTTCTCTCCACCACTCTTTACCCGGCTACCTCCTTGCCATGCTCGCAAGTCACCTCTCCCTTCATCAGGCATCTTGGGCACCTTTCTCTGCTTTAACTGGGTTAGGTGTTTTTTTCTTTATTATCCTCTATCACTGTGTTTTCCTACCAGAGACATCGGCATGCCTTGTTTTCATGGATTTATCTATTTTTTCCCACCAATTATTAGTATTTTGCAGGCAGTGAACTGGTTTCCCTTGCTAACCATCAATAACCACCACCTAGCGTACTCGATAGCACACACTAGGTCTTCAGTAGCTGTTTAACGAGTCTTACACTGGAAGTAGACGGCATAAACGCTTTATTGAACATGGTTTTATCCACAGTTTATGATGCAGAAAGGGTTCTATGTTAGGCAGTAATCAAATCACTTAGGAAGGTTCAGAGATAACTTTCAAACTAGCTGAGGTTGAATGGGCACCTACAATAGCCCAGTTTTTCTGTATCCAGAAAGTAAAACAAAGCATAAAAGTATGATTGCTTATCTCCCTCGGTAACATACCGCAGAATCCGTGTTGGTGATGCTCTAATGAACTAATTAGTTAAATCTAGATCCTTGAAAACTTTACACTGGGGAATCTAATTCCTCTACCCTATCAGGGTGAAAATGAATGTCAGGATATTAAACTTTTATAACAAAATGTCACCTTTGCTCCCTAGATGCTTGGATTCTTTAGCATATGAATCTCCTTTCAACAAATAACATGGAAAAACTCCACTTTAAATACTCTCCTGGGATTTTTACTCTGAGTATCTGCCACGCACATACTACCAGTAGCACAGCTAACAAGATGGACATTTCCAAGTCCATCTTCATTGCTCATCTGGAGCCTCTAACCTTGACTCCCGCTCCACACTGAGGCTTCAGAAAGTTGCCTGGGCACAGTATTTATTCTAAACCCCATCCATGCCCCTTTAATATTGATGAGCCTAATTTTACTGCCACAGCTTTAATAAAGAGACTTTGTGAGGTATAATCAGATGGACAGTATTACTTCTGGAAAATCCATTATGAACAGACAAATTGTTGCCTAACCAACTTTGTGGCAAGTTCCTCGATATTAAAAGGCTAGAAAAGTATGTCCTTCCTCACAATTCACCTACATCCTTTATCACCTAGAGCAAAAGAAAATGTCCTTTGTAAGTTTTAAAATTGTTGCCTACCATGCAACTCAGAGTTATATTTCATATTTAAATCTAGCTTAATCTTTTCTCCCACATTGGAATTTCTAGTTCTTGATAAGATCTGAATGTATGTAATTTTGATAAAAATGATTCCCAAGATTTAAAACCTCAATGAGAAGGGATGAGAAAAATGTCATTTATTGAGAAACTGATAGACTGACAAATATTTTATTCATTCATTTAACAGATATTTAGTATATGCCTAATGTCTTCTTAAAATGGATATAATAACCCGTGGTTTACAGATGAAAAATCTGAATTAGGTATAGAGCAGTTAGAAAAGTTGTCCTAAGCTTTAGGGCCCCCCCCCCCAAAAAAAAAGAGTATAGCCATAATGGAATTCCAGCTTCACATCTTTCCATCCTAAGATACTGGGGGAAATGCAGAAGCTGTAGCCTAGAGGAATCACTCCTTCACCACTGTACTTGACCATCAATCACTGATTGAGGCTTTTGTTCTATGCCTCTTTTAAAAACTATTTTATTTCAAATCCTTTTTATAATTAAGGTTTACAAGAAAAGAGATATGCACTTGAAGCCCAAAATTAGGCAATCGGAAAATATTTAGACATTGTCAGTTAGGACTGCCTTTTCTTTGTTACTGAGAGGCAAAAAGCTGGAAATAGACTGCATAATTTATTCCTGCAGTTTGTTAATAAAACCAAAAGCAGTTATCCTAAAATAAGAGGAAACAAAGTATCGTTTTTCACTAACTTATTATAATAGAAGAGTTTTAGTCAGCTTTTTGAAAATATCGAGCCCAAAAATGTTCTCAAAATTAAAAAAAAAAATTGATTAAATATAATGACACATGCTCTGTTTATATTCAAAAATAGATACTCTGATTTCTCTCCTTTATGCTGTAAAAGTTTCATCTCTTAGAGACAAAATGAAATCATCCAAGAGGGAAAGTATTTTAAGAGATTCTATTATTTTGTACTTCTCTGAAGTGCAGGTGCATTGAAAAATAGCCTAAATTGAAAATGCTCCCAATGCACAATGGTAAAGACTCATAATGTAAGCAAATTATGCTTTCAGTATCAGATGTCATATTATTCTAGATTTTTAGCGCAGTCTGAATCAAAATCTTAAAGACAATTTGAATGCATGGACTTTTCTTCCTTCTATGCATATGCATTTCACCATAATATTTAGAGCATGTAGGGGTCCTTGAGAGAACAGTACCAGCATAATGAACAGGGTCGATACAGAGATCACCTTACATTTACATATAGTGAGCCCAGGGAATCATGTCTGAACGATAATATGTGGAATTTGGATGCATCAGGATTAATTCCTTCATTTACTTAGCATCCTTGTACTGTTGGCATGTAATTTTTTTCTTGAATAGAGCAGGGGCCAGCAACCTTTTCTGTAAACTTCCAAATAACTACTGTAGGCTCTGTAGGCCAAAACATCTGTGTCGCAGCTGCTCAGCCCGGCCCCCAAACAGCTATATACAATACGTAACGACGGGCTTGTCTGTATTCTCACAACACCTGACAAAAACAGCAAGGGGCTGCATTTTTCCTGAGGTCCATCGTTTGCCAACTCCTAATGTACAGCTTTAAGATTCTCAAAGTAGTTGATTGATGCTGAGGGTCAAAAATGCCAATTTCTATACTTGGTCAGGTCAGGGAGATTCAGTCTTTAAAAAACATTGCAGAATTATTAGAACATATAACATAGGGAGTTACCAAAATACTAACTGTCGGAAATCGCGGTGACCTCCTCGTTGTGATACAGCCAGCTGACCACAGGTGCGGGGGAGCTGCTAACTCGGCAGACCACTTCTGCATCTTCTCCCTGTCTGAATTCTTGAGGTGATACCACTTCTCTGAAAGTGAGCTTTTCTGTATCAAGAAAGTAAAACAAGTCATAAAAGTATGATCGCGTATTTCTCTCCATAACCTGCTCCAGAATCTGTGTTGATTGATGTCATAGTGAAGTAATTAATTAAATCAAGATCCTTGAAAACCTTAAAGCAGATGATCATATAATTCCTCTACCTGTGACATCCCTCATCCCTGAGAAGAAATTCCAAAGTCCTTGCAATCCCACCGTAGGTCCTATATGAACTGAATTCTCCCCACCACTCTGATCCCAATGTCTCCTCTCTCTTCCTGTGCTCTGAGCTCCAGGCAGTTCTCACCTTTGCAATTCCTGAGACAGTCCGGGTTTGTTCTCACACCTCAGCTTTTGCATGCCTTAAATTCCTTTACATTTCTGCCCGACCTCCACGAATAAAATAGCCATCTTCCTTCCCACTCTCACTGCCTTTCTATTCCACTTAATTTCTTTATTATAGAATTCTGTAGCACGGATATTTGAAAGCTTACCTATTGTTTGTCTCACTAAAATATCAGCACCTAGTGGCTGGTGACATTTCCTGCTTTAGTCATTACTGAGTCTCTAGAACTCTGAATATTCTCTGCTATGTAGTAGATACCCAATGTAGTAGGCACCCAATAAATGTGTCCAAGTTAATGAATGAACAGGATGCCTATGCTTGATGAGAATGTTCACAAAAGAAATTCAGTGTTCTTGCCAAGAAAAAAAAAAGTATTTCTTTACATTTAAAACTAAAACATCAGGGATCTTCCTTTGCATCATTTAAAGTAAGAAAAAAATCTTTCCAAATATAAAATAACTTTCAATTTAATTTTTTGCTCTTTACGAAGTAGAATGAGTACAGGTCACATCAAAAGGGAATATATCTTTCCTTGAGGAGCTAAGAAACTAACGGGGGAAAGGCCAAATCGGAAAATCAAGGGCAACAATGTGCCAACAAATTCCTCAGCTCATCAAAGAGGAAATCATGCAAGGGAAATGCTTTGGCTTTTTAAAAAAGCCTTTTTCTAGAATAATAAAAAACCAAAGTTATAAAAAGAGAAGCCTTATAAGCTAGTATTCAAAAATCTTTATAATTTTTCCCTGGTAGAAATGCTAACTACCACATAAGAATTGTAAGGCATTGTTCTAAGAGCTGTATGCAACATTAATTGATGTAGTCCTCAAGAAAACTCTATGTATGAGGAAGGTATTACTATTACACCCATTTTATAGATGAAGAAACTGAAGACAGATAAATTAGGTGGTTGCTTAAGATCAGAGAATGAAGTGATACAGCCTGGTTTCAAACCCAGACAGTCAACAGTGCTCTTAAATAGGGCAATGGTTCCTAAATGTGAGAAGGAAAAGGGTTGTGGGAAGCAATGGGTCTCAAATCAGAAAATGAAGGGTAAGAGTGGAAATGCTTGGTAATGAAAGGCCTGGTGGTGAGGAATCCGAGTAGATATCCTTCTTACCAGGTGAGTTTTCAGCTTTTCCTGTCTACTCCTGTTCACTGATCCCTGCCGTCACATAAGCTACTTCATGGGTTCTAATTATGACCTTTTATGTTAGAGTAAAACAGTACTCGATATATTTCATAACACTAAACAAACTACTGTTTTCTATTTACCCAGCAGATTCTTAATGGCCTGAGAAAATGAAAACATTTCCATTATATTATTTAACCAACATAATTGGTTCCACCTACATGTTTATGATTAACTACTCCCTATTATTTATTCTATTTTAGAGAGGCACTAGGGTAAAATAGAATAAGCTGCTACCTGTAAAGGTCTTAGAACATTGCCTGGCACGTAGTTCTTAATAAGTGTTGGTTTTTATTACACACATTTCATTTTGTTTGAATTTTTACATGGCTACAATTTCAATCAACCAATAAATAAGTGACTTACGGTAAATTTCCAAAACAACTGTAGCTTCTTGCGTCTGTCCTTTGGCGTCTGTTGCTTGACAACGATATATCCCTGCATCTTCTATATTCGCATTGTAGATGGTTAATCGTGACCTGACACCCTCCTTTTGTACCATTACCCTCTGTGTTGAAATTATCTTCTCTCCTTGAGGATTATACCAGTCTATACTCTCAGGCTCACCAATTGCTGCAAAGGGTCATGGAAAAGAAATGTTTGAAAATATGACTCAAGTGCTTGTTTTCACATTGGCATTCACTTGCTATGTAACAACTCTCAACAATTTAGGGAAAAAGAATGTAAATAGGAAAAGGCTGGAAATCTGAACGTCTTACAGAACTGAAAGTAAACACAAATGTTAGAACACATGTTCGTCTTACTAATCCAACGCTCAGGGTTCGATCCCATCTGAGTAAACGGAACCCAGAAGTTCCAGGGGAAACATCGGGCCCCTTAACTGAAGCGATGGGAGCTGAACATTGACCAGAGACCACTGTGGATTTTCACTGCGCTGCAGCATAAAGCTGCTGGGCCACTGAGTCGGACATGCATTATACTTGATAGACATATCTCAACAGAAACACGATTCCTAACATCACTTCACCTCTTCCGTTTTCTTTGCGAGAGTCAGGAGTTAAAAGAAAAATTTCCCTGATAAAGCAGAGCTCATAAAAATGGAAATCTTATAAAAAAATCAAACATTGCGTTTTGGTAATACTAAATTTTGAATTAATATCCTAAGTCTCTATATTTGTGCCGATAAGACCAATGACTATTTTTAATATGATGCCCTAATCTCTTTTTTCAAACGGAAATCAGTACTTTCATCATTTTAATCTAAAACGGTTACCTATTTAGTCATGTGATAATTAGAACGCATTGAAATGACACTTACCCTGCCAGGCAACTGCAACCAAATCGTTACAGGGTAAACACGTATTTAACTTTTCCAGCTCAGAATCTCGCTCATTACCCTCTCTGCACAAGGGGAAGCTTCCCGGGCTTGCTCTCGGTCGCCAAGAGGATGCATTTCGCGGAATGAGGAGCGAGAATGCGTGCAAGCAGCACTAAGTCAGGGGCCCGGGGGAGCGCACCCGGTTACCCACCGCCTGCAGGCTCCTTGAAGGAAACTGTTCCTTATTCTCCCCAGCAAACCGCTTTAGAAACGAATTAGTATCCTTGCTGCATCAAATTAGACATGCTGGGGCAAACGTATGAAAGTTTACATTTTCAATGGACCGCAGTTCGGTTCTTTTCTGTTTTTCTGAATAGATCCGTCATACCATAGTGGTTATAGGATAACTCATTGAGGGCAGGTCTTTTTTTAAGTTCCACGCTCCATATAGACAGCACAAAAAATAATGTAAACAAGCATAACTTTAAATTTGAACAATACAAAAATCACATTTTTGTACTGTGAAGTATTTTGTATATTTTTATTCTTAATAACGTGGTATAAAATGTGATCATTATGGCGAGTTTACTCTGGGTTTTCATAGAGTGGTCATCACACTCTTTTTTCTGGTACCTGTAATAATTAGTAATTTCCAATAAAACTTTTCATGTTATTTATTGATAAGAGTGGCTACTGGAGAAATTAATACATATAATTGAACTTTTTATTTTCTTGAAAACATAGTAAAAACATTTCTTTGCTACATATGACATACTCTTATTTAGTTCTCTGAGGATCTGACGCCCTTCTAACTTCTCTAAATTTAAGATATATTTATTTATTGTGTTTTAGATGTCTGTGTTGTAGGGTTCAAGGAAACTTTAGTCATGGCACCATCGTCACCACTGTAGTAGAAAAAAAATACACACAAGCTTTCTGATTTGCTTTCTGATTCTTATCTTACTGCTATATTTAACATAAATAAGGGCACTTCCATAATATCAGTATAGCTCTTGGTTGTACATCTTTATATAAAAGGAAAAAAAGTTTAATTATTTTGTCTTATTATTAAGAGCAAAACTCAGTACCACTGAATAATAATTCATACTTTAAAATTATATCTTAATTTGACTTTATGTGATAGAGAGGCAATTACATTATATAATTTACATTATCATAATATGCAAATCCAAGAAAATAATACTATTTCACTTTATTTTCAAACTTTATTTTTAAGCTATTTCATTATTCTGGGGTTATGTGATATAAGTGTGTATTTGCATATATAAAACATGGATGACATTTAGAAACAATGACCTATATTCTTATGCCAAAGCTCTACTGACATGATAAATGCTGCTGAACCAATTTCTCCCTTGCTCAGTTATTCCATTTGTCGCTATGCAAAAATATATGTCAACACAACTATCAATTCAGACCTTTAAGAAGGCAAATGTATAGAAAACCATGGCCTCTATTAGTTTTTCATAAGATATGATTAATATAAATATAACATTTAATGTATAGTATATGTAGTCACAATATACTATAATATATAGTTTATATACTATGAATGTGATTTATAGATGTTATTGTAACTTTTTATTTAAAAAAATTTTAATAATAAATAAGCCATGTCATTCTCAAGACAAATTTTATACTGCATTTTATATCAGAAATGCCTATTTAAACTCAGTTTTGAATTGTTTAAGTATAAACAGAAATAGAAAAAAATTTAAAATACTCTAGAAAGCAATTTAGGCACTAAATGAATATTTTTTAAAACTAAGTATAAAGCTTTTAAGAATAAAATGAATATGATGAAGCTAAATAGAAGTAGAATGCATTCATTTTTGTCCTACAGTACATTGAATTAGAATTTGATGTTTAAATATTTAAATGTCTTCTGAAAAATCCTGCATGCTCATGATTAAGCTGAATGAGCTCCCCATAATTTTCCATAGACATTATGATATCTGATACTTTTGATTAATAGGCACAAAAATCTTGCAATTTTTCATGATTAAATAATTATCTTTTTAGAATCACTTTTCATAAGGATAAATTTGATTTGTATTATCCTAAAATTTTCAGCAGCTATAATAGTGCACTTTATCATATTTAATTTATTCATTGCATATTTACAAAGATTAGTTATAATATTTACATTCATCCTAACATTACTATTTAGGCAGGTATAATATTTGAATTGATTTATGTTAATATATATACATTATATTTGATAATAAATTATTTCAAAATAAATGAGCTAGTTTGACAGTCAAAATTGACAACTTTAAATGAACAGAAATAAAATTCTTATTGTTTATATGCAAAATATAGTAACTGATTTTTCCAATTTTTATAAACCCAATGATAATATAAGATTTTATTTTTAGAGAATTGAGTTTTGCACAACTTAAATTTTTTCAATATGTTATATTAAATAATTAAAGCATAAAACAAGTTATCTGAAAATATTTGTAATACATACCTGTACATGTGAAGAATTTAGATTCACCCACACTAAGCTCTACTTTGCTAAGTGAAATTGTCACTTGAAGAAGAGCTGAAAAAAATATTTGAGTGACAATTAATTTTAGTTTTATACTTGAATTCTAAGATTTTATTACATGATCTATAAATCATGATTTAAGCAGCAATTATTTTCACCCAATTTTTTATTACCAATATAGAGAGATGATGTATGTATAATATGATCGAAAAACAAAATGCTATATTTTATTATGCACTTCACAACCAGACCAAATACAGGATGCTTTCAGGCTAATATTTTGAAATTTGTTTGTCAATTAATGAAGAAATTCACACTCAGGCAGCTGCTCCATATGTACATGCACATTTATATGTGCTATCTGATTGGGCACCAGCTAGAGAAAAGTTTTCCCCCAAATTTGAAACCTTGTTAAAAGAGTATATCCTACACTGTTATTACACAAATAAAAATATAAATTAACTGCATTTTGACTACCTACTAAAATATTTCCATGAAAGGAGGCACTACACAGGGAAGAGAGGGAGCTTTGCATAGGGAAAGGTGAATAGAAATTTATTTTAACAAGACAAGTAAGTTAAATGAAACAACCAGGACAATGGCAATAAAACAGATGAGTTGTTCAATAAATTTGTTCTCAAATTTGCAATTAAATAGATGAAGAATCTAGAATTTTAGAAGGTAATTGAAATTGTTTTAATACAAGTTGAAAGACACATTTCTAATAATATGATACAAAAGAGAGTGTGACCACTCCCTAAAACCTTGCCCCACCATCTCTTGTTTTCAGGCATGGATACCTGAGCTTTCAGTAAAGTAATGAAGCTACAAGGGGGAAAAACAAACAGACAAAGAAAAAAGTCTAAAAACTAGAGTATAAGTCAACACTGGGAATCTGTGGATCACAGCAACCAAAAGGTGCACAGATTACACAGAGATTCGATCCAAGCTTGTCTAGAAAAGTGGGTGCTACAGAACACCAGGTAACACTGGACCAGAACAAAGTTAATCCATATTATAAGAAGGGTAAGAATAAATCAGCCCACTGGCAAAAGGGTGATGACAAGGAAAGTTGTCTCTCTTGGCCTGTGTAGAGGGAAATTGTTTCTCCTTAAATAGGTTAACCACTGTTCTGCCATATCCCATGTTTGGGATTTTAACTATGGACAGGTGATCTTTGGGAAATCCCAAGCTGAAAATTCAACTAAAAAGCAGTGTCACATGTAGGGTTCACAGCTACGTGACAGAAACAAACAAAAATCTCCTCCAGAAGATCTACATCATCGGCCCAGACGGCCCAAGATTTTTACAAATGAGGCTCCTTTTAACCTAAATGCACATTCTGACATTATAAAATCGATAGCAAGCTAAGGCACTGTGAAAGGAGTCTGTTGAAACAACCACTAGGAGATGTAGGAGCATGAAGCTTCAAAAACTGAAATTAAACTAAGAATGTAACATAACTAGGTATAAACAATGCCAGCTCCAGGTCAATTCACAGAAGAAGACTTTGTCATTTGAGAAGTAACTAAGTCCCTAGGTGAACTTACTTCACGGGTAATGGGGTCAACAGAGGTAAATCACAGAAGTTAAGAAATTTGACATTTCCCCTGCAAGAAACTTGAACCTAAGGAGGTGGATGGCCCTTTCGGAAACCACAGTTCTGGGCATGCAGTCAGGGGTTTTTTAATTTGGGGAAGTTTGGGGCATACCTAACAGTAAAAGGGTCAGAAGCAGGAAAGAGGGAATATGGTTGAGAGAAAGGGGGAACTCTGATGACCTTCCTCTGTCTCGTTTATTTCCTCCCTTACTGTACTTTCTTCTTTAAGACATCTTTCCTTTTCATGGCATCAATTACCTTTTCTCTTTGGATTTTCAGTCTGATCTTTCCCAGAAAGCTAATCCTCAATTTCCAACCCTCAGCTAGCATTCAATTAGATAGCATATTTTAATTTCAAACTTCCTGTGTGCAAACTGAACCCATTCCCCTTCCATAAAAAAATTGCTCACATTCCATTTTTCGTCACCTTCAATTTTCAAGTCTTGAAGACATAACATCTGAAATATCACTCATGTGCATTCTTGTTTATTTCCAACACTGTTTCCCTAATATGTGCACTTACTAATTATAATGAGATATTTATTTTAATCTGAGATAGTGATATATCAAGATCTAGATTTTTTCCTGACTTTCTTCCCTTCATTCTCTGTTCTCATGGAAGTATTTCTCAGGTTACTGCATATATAAGTTTCTAATACTGTTTAATTTCACTTGCCTACTCATAAGTATTCAAAGTGGATTTGCTTTGGCCAATTAAATAATTATTATACAAATTTCAGTTGAAAGAAACTTACCTTTCCAAGTTTATTTCCAATAACTCCTTCCCAATGCTTCTGCAGCTATAGGCAATGAGGAATTATCCCCACCCCTTCTCCACTGACTCGCACTTTCCCATCAGTGTGCATTTGCTCAAACTATTTCCTCTGCCTCCATCTCCCTTTCTCACACTTCCACATGGCTGTCTATGTTCCATCTTCAATGCAAAACTAAAATACCAATAACTTTGCAAAACATTCTTTGAGGTCCCCATCAATGGCATCAACAAATAAATATCTTTGATCAAGAGGCATTTTCACTAAACAAATGAAATATACTTGTTGATAATTATACTCAACTCTCAAACTTATTTAAATGTAAATTCCTAGAAATGAAGGCTCATCAATCTCACTTCTGTTTCTCCTAAACTGATACTATATGGATACATGCAGAGTAATGTACAAACACCCACCCAGAGCTGATTGTACACAAGGTACAGAACATTGACAGTATTAACAATATAAAATTGCAAAAGGACTTCACCGCCTTAAATTGAATGTAAAGGTATCAGAGAGTCTGAGAAATATCTACCAATTATTGTGTAAATAATTCACATATTTGTAGTATATTTGTTTTGCTTTTGTAAGGAAGAGTTTTTAGAAAAGATGGAACTTAAAATATAGAGGCACTGATTTGCCGATGGGTAAGATAAATAACTGATATTAAGTGTAACAAAATAAAATTTAGCTTAAAATTAATTAGTTCATTAATATTAAAATACTTTATTATTTTATCATTCAGTACAAACTATCAATTCACACATAAACCAGGGCCACATTTTTCATGGATATTTTGATGACATTGCTATATTTTAGGTATTAAAAGTACTTATATTAGTAAAGGCTAGATTTGATCTACTTGATCTCTACAAATATATTAAAACATGTGAATATTAGAAACATCAATGATGAGAGAGTCATTGATCGAGCCCGCAACCCGGGCATGTGCCCCGACCGGGAATCGAACCCCGATCGCCTGGATCCCAGGTCGACGCTCAACCACTGAGCCACGCCTGGCCAGGCTGTCCTTTAATTATTTATAAATAGAAATTAACATGACAAAAAGGACGTTTAGTCGAGATTAGTCAGAATATAGGATGACTTACAAATTGAATTAAGGGGACAAGCAGTTAGGGTATAAGATTCTGAGCACCTGAAATGGCTGGTGGCAAAGCATATGGAAAGGTAGAAATAGGTGTCACAGAAACATTCAAAATAGGAGTCATCTTTGTGATCCATTAGAACTTTAGTGAAAAAGTAAAAAGTAAAAGATTTTCTACTTCACCAACATAAAATAGAATTTCAAGAGAAGAGCTAATAGAGGGGAAAATATGAAGCTGTAATTTATTTCACAAGTAAAAATTTTTTCCAAACTAGAACACAGGCAACATTTTAACAAAGATAACTGCTATTATAGCAAAGCTTAAATTCATATTTAGAATTTAAGTTATAAAATTAACTTAATAGCAGACCGAATAGCAGATATTCAAAAGGGACTTTCTTAACTTACAAGAATATAAAGATAATGAAGCCACTGGCATTTTTAAGTTACATCAGGAGACCAGGAGCCCTTTGCAGTTTGATACAACATTTAACAGTGGCATTTAAAAGGGCCAGTTTATCACTTGCAGAGATTTAAAAACTGACAACTTAATCAGTCTACTACATGTCTGACACAGGGCAGAATTGTGTCCACTTAAAATTCCAACAGCCATGCAGAGACAACTCGAGATGCTGATTTATCTTGGTGCAATGACTTGTAAGATTCCTAAAGCAAGCACATTTTCCTTGGCCTTCACATCAAGGGAATTTGAGGGCTAATGTACTCACCTAGTAATTAGAGAAACTCTCAAAGCGTCTTCCTAATAGAAGGCCCTTATAAATTATCGATTATTCATTATACCAAATGAACAAGAAAAAACTTAACCATTTTTCTTTGGAAAACATATTTTAAAATAGTATATTCTTTGAGGAAATTATGTACATTATCATTTAATTATTCACTTTTTTATTATTAAATTTTCATCTCAGTGTATCACCACAGCCTAAGTTGGTTCTTAGGTTTTGGAAATTGCTACAGTATTCAAAACAATTCAGAACTTCTGGAGCACTTAAGATAGAAATACTCTATCATTAAAATCAGAAAATCTGATGGCTGTGAACATTTTATCAAACTTACTTTTTAATCAATTGTTTCACCTAAGTTTACCAAGAAGACAAAGTTGAACTTTTTAGTGTAATTCCTACTCTACCCCCATGTTTTTTTATATTTGCACTAAAGCTTTTCAATCTTCTCAAACCAAGTTAAGAAAATAGATGTCTCAGTTGCTTTCAGAGCAACTGGTCCTGCCTCATTAATGCTTCTATTACTCTTGACCCCTTCTTTTCAAGCTATAGACACTGTCTAATCCCATTCATTCTAAAAAGTAAATAATAATGAATGAAACAAAAAATGAAACAAAATAACCAAATAATACAAAAAGGAAAATCATTCTTTCCCCGCTCATCTCTCAAATTACTATGGTATGTCCTTACTTGTCTTAATTACATTATTTTCTGGAAGAAAGATAGAGAAAAAAGAAAGAAGGAAAGAAAGAAAAAATAAAAGAATGCTCAGTTCCCTAGTCATTATTTATTCTATTACAATTTATTTGTCTTCTTTGCACTCATAAGTTGTT